TTTTAATCCACTCTAAATCGATTAACGTATCTAATTGGTCTATGTTAATAAGAATTCATTACAGTTTTTCATCTGTATATAAATCGATTTAAATCGATTTCAATCTCAAGTTTGTCAGTGCGGGAAAATGCTTAAATGTAACTCGGCATTCAAATTTTGTGAGATTGTTGCATGACTCTTGCAACATTTTGCATTCCCTTTAACCGGGGCTAGGTCTTTTACCAGACCGACTTTTTACCAGACCGACCGTTTACCAGACCACAATGCATTATGTCAATTGAGATAATTTTAAATTAGTGGAAATTTCGAAACGGAAGCGGTTACATCAAACAAAACTTCGCTGAGAAGCCGTGAAAACATTGTCTTTAACCAGACTAAACGGCTTCATTGCATCTGTCAACAAATTTGTTTATCGAGTCTGGTAAAAGGTCCATGTTATAACTTTTCTGGTAAAAGGTCGGTCTTGTAAAAGGTCGGTCCCCCTTTAACCATTTAGTTGCTAAAATAGGATATAATTAATGAAATATAATTTGATTTAAGATATGAGTTAATCCCAGAATTCATTTATAAATTGGTTTGATATATAGCAGTTAAAACTTTCTGAATACTTACACTAAGCACTTTTAAATTATAATTTGATCTGCCCTCGTGCAATCGTACAATTTGATTTGGGGTGATTTGGGTTTGAGGCAGCTTCCTAGAGACCTGCAGAAACTATAAAAAGTTGAACATACCAAAAAGCCAAAGAAAAATAATATAATGCTTATAATCCGCATGTAATGCAATCATTGCAAGTTTACCGCAAGAAAATATATAGCCGTGCAAGAGTATTGCGAGAAAAAAGCTAAACTTATGGATTCCTACGAAAGATTCTTAGCAGGACTCTTGCATGATTTGAATTCTAAAAAAGTTAGAAAGCTTTGCTATTTTCTGGATAATATTGTTTGGTTTATATTGATTCTTTGAACTATTGTAGAACTGTTTTTTTTTAGCCATCGAGGAGGCAGTAGAGCCCAAATTTGACCTAAAATATGCCCCCCAAAAAATCTTCCATCACGGGGAGATACGTGCAGTCGACGATCAAATCGTGGTTACCAAAATGCTCTGTTCTTTCGATGTGTCGCGGTTTCCCTTTGACACCCAAAAGTGTACCATGTCTTTCAGGTCACTTGCAATCGATAAAAAGTTATTCAATCTAAAAGGTTAGTTTATTTTGATGCCTTTTCAAGTTTCTGGTTCTTGAAATTATCATGAACACACATGCACCAGCGGATTTAGGTGGGATGGGGGCGGGTGGGGATGGGGGTGGACGCTTTTTTCTCCTTTTTCAGGAATTTGACCCCCTGCCGACCCTGTACTATTTGCACTGTTTTCAGATATCCATTTTTGGTAACGGACCCTAAATTTTTTCTAAAGAGGGTCTTCGGCGCCAATAAAAACTAATTGTGAGAAGGGAGCCTAAAAACGCCTTTTTCGGCCTGTTTTTTTTCAAAATTTTGCCTGCGGCGCAAAACATTTGGTAAAATTGGGGTCTTTTCAGTGATTTAAGAGTAGTGCTCAGAAAATCGAAATTTTTTGAAAATCCACCGCCCTCCCCCTCCAAGATCCGCCCCTGCACGCATGTAAATAAACTGGTCCCTAATTTTGTGCTCGACTGTTCGACCTTGTACTCGGAAAACTATTCGACAATTACATTTTGAAAACTTAGGTTGCATTAGCTTGCCTAATTTACTTAAGAGTGTACTGGTTTTTTTCTAGGTTTTACTTTGTACTTTTCTTGATGTTGTTTAGTGCTGAGTTTGAAACTATTGTTGAAAGTGTACACAAACAATTTAGAGTTTAAAACATGCTTTGAGTCCTGATAGTTTAAATTTTTCTTTGCCTAGTTTGTTTCTAACTCTTTGCCTGCGTGATCTAACTTTTCGCTATAGTTTTATCGAAATGCATTGATTTCTGTAACAGCAATTTTAACTGTTTTGTTTAAAAATGAAAAATAGCACTAATTAGTTCGGGTCAACCAGATTGTACTTTCTTGTATTTGAGCTGCGGAATCGTGAAAACCTTTGTCACTTTTATAAGGTAGTCTTAAGCTGAAAAGAAAACTGATGAAAGAAAAGATTGTATTATATTGATGATCTACAAGTTTTTGTTCCTTTCAAAGAAAATGACTATCAAATCGTACAATCAATTGCAATTTATTATGATTTTAATTGATTCAGTAGTCTCGGAAATCTATTTAAGAAGAATTGAAAAAAAAAGGTTTCTTACCTGTCTTGTTTCAATGAAAATTACTGATAGAAAAAAGGATAAAACTGCGGGTTGAGAAATTAGACGATAAGCAAAATAGACGGAGGTACTTAAAAAGAATTTAGACGATTTTGCAAAACTGCAATTGTGAGGAAATAGACGAAAGTGAGAGAGATTAAAATTGTTTACAGACAAATTGCGTTAAAAAAAAATTGTTTACAGACAACAGTTAAATTTTGGTGGCCAAAAAATTTACAAGTCAATCATGCATAATTTATTCAATTCAAAACTCTCCTGTAGTATTCGAATTTCACATTTTATCTTCATTTAAACTAATTGTTTTGATAGGTATTGACATTTTGTGTACTTTTTGTATTTGTGAAACTTGATTCTTAAGAAAAACTTTTGTTGGCCCTTTACTTTTCATAGCTTTTTCGTCTAAAATACCAGATCTGTAAAAAAATAAAATCCGTCTTATTTTGTTTTGTAGCATCCGTCTAATCTGCTTATCGTCTACTTTCCTAGAGCCCCATAAAACTGTCAAATTAAGACCATAATTATCAATGTCTTTTTTTCTGTAAAAAGCAAAAAAAAACTGCCGAACTCTAGCTGTATTGATAGGTATTGTTTGTGTACGAGTGTGTATGTTTGAGGAAGGGGGTGGGAGCGGGGTAAAATTGAAAACAAAAAACTGGAAAAAATTATTGGATCCGAAAATGTAAAATCTCAGCAGCAAAAATTTTTTTTAGTTTTCCATTTTTTTCAGGTCAAAATAGATTCCCTGAGAAAAGCTTGGATTCTTTTTAAGATTTCAAGGCTTTTATTTCTGCAAAAAATAGTTTTTTTGACAATGGGATTTTTCGATTGATGATTTTTATGGCTTTTGTCTCTAATTTTAAATTAATTTTTCATAGAGGAGAAAAATTGTTTCTTAGACAATATAATTGGTTTTTTAGAAAATATATATTTTTTGGGTCCATAAAGACGTCAATGCAACCTTCAATCATAAATTTTATACAGATTTGATACAGATTTTATACAGATAGTACACATATTTTATACAGCAAAAAAATCCATTTTCTAAACAATCAAAAATTATCTGCAAAATAGATTGCACTCTCTGATGATTTTTCCCAGGCAGAACTCGATTCTTTAACTAGGTTTTTTTACGCCTGACTGGATTGGTAAATTTTTGAAAAAAAGTTGTCTTGAGCTCAATTTCTGTAATTTTTTTTATACTTGATCACTTTATGTAAAGTTATGGGGCTTTGAAATTTGTCAATTTGGCCAATTCGGGTCAATTAACGCGCTATATTTATCGTGCATTTAACATTTAAACCGTAACATGTTCAATCGATCTTAGAAATCGTTGCACCTTGAATTGAGGCATGGTAATTGGTCAATATTCAAAACTTTGCTAAATGCGAAATATACTTCTCTTTACTTTAGACTAAGTGCCGGAGGAAGGGGTGAAACAAATTTAAACAAGGCTGCTCGTATCAGGGCGAAGCCCTGAATAATCCGACTGCCTTTTACGGTTTATGGAGCAGTAGTAACATAAAAAAATTAAATGTAATATTTTAAAACGAAATTTTTTTTAAATTTTAAATTGTTTTATGAAATCACCCCTCCACACGCCATATAAAGCACAAAAGGATAGACTTCATTTCTTGTAACAAATCAACAATGGCAAACGTCTTTCTTTCTACCAATTTGAAACCATTTTTAAGACGGATTAAATTTCCGCTTACGCGTTAATTGTGAACTATATCCCGCGTTAATTGTTCCAAATTGGCCAAAATGGCAATCTTTAAACCCCCACAATTGTACGAAAAATGATCACAAGTAAATTGTATTTTCAAATTAAGCTCAGGACAACATTACATTTTGAATGATATAAAACAATTCCGTCAAAAATGGCCTGCTGAAAACTCGAAATTTGTCTGAAGAAAAACTCACCCCGAGCACAAATTTTCCGTTTCTTTCGTATCGAAACTCGGAACAAAAAAAAGTCCTCAGCTGCTTTTAAAGCGAACGCTGCTCTTTTGACCTTAAAAAACAGTTGGAACATTCGGGTATTCGCGATCATATCCTACCGCGTTGACTGCAATTATTTGTCATTTTGTATTAGTTGCTAAAACGTTTGAACAAAATGTAACTACTACGACTGAGATTTTTGGAAAAACTGGTTGCGTCTCGTTGATTTTTGTCATAATTCTAAATGACTCATAAGTGATGCAGAGAATCATGCTGAGATAATAATCAGAATAGATCTTGACTGCCAGTGAACCTTTCTTCTTTTTTAGTATGTCCGTAAAATTAAGATGCTAATTTTTAGCGACGCAAACGGGATTGGTAGTTTTCACTGACAAATGTTTTTTTTTGTTTCAATTGGACGGCGATAGAAGAAGTTATTTTTGGTAGATTATACTTTGAATTGAACATTTTTTTCACAGTTTAATTTTAATTAAAGATGAAAATTTGGATCATTTTTGTCTAATTTTGCTTTGTTGGAACTTTTTGCCGGCTAAACTTGAGGAAATCTGTTTTCAGAAGTTCTAGTTTAAACCGGATTAGACTTGATTCTTGATTGATTCTCAGAAAGAATAAGGGAGATAACAGTCTGTGCTGCCCAATCGGCGAATAAGTTTGTCTCGACTCGGCGTTTTAAATCCATGTCGTTTCAGTTGATTTCCAGGAAACTATTTTGGAAAACGACCAATGGGACGTTTTGGTCCGACCACTATCATCCGACAATAAAATTAATCGTATTTTTGAACTGGAAGTTTCCCTGCGCCGACGACCTCAATTTTACATGCTGGTTTTAGTATTACCATGCCTGGTTCTCTATACCATCTCCAGTTTATGCTTCGTTTTGCCTTCGGACGCAACTGAGAAAGTCTCGTTTGCGGTGACTATTCTGTTGGCGGAGGTGGTAGCGTTCACCTCTCTCAGTAATGTGTTACCGGAGAGCTCAGAAAACACTCCAATTTTGCTTTATTTTCTGTCGGCTGTCATCTGGCATATGGGGATACTCTGCATAGTGGCTGTACTTGGTGAGTGACTATTCAACATCCCAGTCTGTAAAGTTCAACATGAAAATATAGCCTATACATAAGTACGTTTAAATGGGTACGTTTTTTTGGTGAATTCGTTTGAAATGTCATTTTGAAAAGTCTAAAAAAACTTACCAGAATTGAAAAATCAATTTGAGCCTTTTCAGCGTCATAATCCGTTTTGAGCTTCCAAAAGTTAGAGACTCAACCTCTTTTAGTAAGGAAAATTGCACTATGCATCTTATAGAGTAACTTATGTATTGAGAACAGCATGTCTTGTCCTGCTTTCATTCAGTTGTTTTTTTTTCTTGAGAAGCGAAGGAAAAAACTCAGCTATATATTACCTGTTCCTTCGAAAATCAGTATATTGTTCGTTTTAAAATTGTAGAATGCTCGTGTTTCAGTCGTGAACATCAGTCAAAACGGATGGCAAACTTGGATGAGTCCCAGAATGAAGCAATTCATCAGCTCGCCTTATTTAAAACTGATCAAAATGGTCCCCTTCTCAGAACAAGACCGATACCGTCATCTCTCCATCAAACGAAACTCGTATGGTAATGTCGTCGATCGACTGGGCCGAAATGTATTGCAAGTCACGTTCGAAGACAATAACGAAGAGAAGTTGGAGCTGGAAAAAGAAAAGAACGACATTCGGTGGCGTTTTCTGGCCATAGTTGTGGACCGAATCTTTCTTTTGATTCACACTGTGGCAATCACGTCTAATATTTTGTACTTCACTTGCAACTTTGCCATCGGTAATGTCCAGAGATGGCTAGAAGAAAAGTGATAAATTGGTAACGCAACACTTTGGCATATAATTCTAAAGTTGATGCTCAAAGAGTTTCAAGTATATATTATAAACACAATTAAATCTGAAACCGTTTTCAAGTACCTCCGAAGGGTAGGTTAGACCAAAAACTCCGAAGGGTAGGTTAGATTATTTATCTAATCCTGAAACTTAACAAGGATAGCAGGTTGCCGTGCAAGTAACCCAGAATGTTCCGACCATAATCTCAGAAATTTTCTTTTGAACTCAGTGAACTCGAGTCTTCTCTTGTACGCCATGTGATGATTAAGCAATACAAAATTGTTAAATCTAAACAATTATGCGTCAAAATTCAATGAGTTAGGCAAAAACAGCAACAATTGTCTTCAAAAAATGAACAAACAAACAGATGAAAAATTTTTTCAAAAATCTTTTTGATTTTTTTCCCCCATTTTTTGCTCTAAAAACTTTAGATGTTTTCAGAAAACTTCTTTTTGCCGGAGAAAAGCTAGTTAAAGCTTACAAAAATATATATAATTTTTGCAAAAATCTTATAAATATCAAACATAACGAACATTACTTGATCGATTTACCCGCTCTAAAAAAACGATAAATCAAAAATTTCAAACCGTTTTTTCTCGACTTTGGGATTTTTTGTAATTTTTTTACTATCGTCCCGGGTTGGCCTCCATAGACCAAAAATGCTAATCATACAATTCCATAAACTAAGTCTATGAAAAAATACTATTCATACAAATTTCATACATTTTGCTTAAATGGTGTCATCGAAATTTCGAAGAACTTTTCTCTTGTTTTGGCATAAATTTTGGTGTATCGTACAAAATAAAAAAGAAAAACTTTTTGTCAGAAAAAATGCTAATCATACATTTCCATATATGGAAATTGTATGACTAGCATTTTTTTTTGATGGCGACAACAAAATTTTTCAAAGTATTTTTGAAATTGCCGTCAAAAATTTTTTTGTGTTTTTTTCAACCGCAAAATGATTTTCGTACTCAAAGAAATATTTTTTGAAAAAAAGTATTTTGCATGCAAAATTTATTTTTTTGTGTGTATAACGTAGTCCTGGATATACTAATATTAGATTTTTTTCCCTTTTCTCTTGATAACATTTTTCAAAAATGCTCGAGACTTTTTTGTATGGCATGTTTTTGTATGCCTTGATCGATGTCTGTTAATTTGAAAATTCAAATTTTAGAAATAGTCATCTTTGACAATTTTTGCAAAAATGTAAAAGTTTGGCACTTTTGTTATATTATTTGCGTAAGACAGAACTAACACATTGCAGGCTGTTTCCAAAGCGTTTTTAATGCGAGACGGCCAAACCTTTGGTTACTACGTTTGATTAACCAAGGTTTATGTCATTTAAGTTCGGTTACGAACACAACCAAAAAATTTTGAGAAATTAAAATGCAAAAAATCAATTTTTTTGGTTTATGGAAAAATGCAAGTCATACAATTTCCATATATGAAAAAATACTAATCATAGACCTTTCAAGCAATTTTCTGTACGTATGGAATTGCATGGAAAGTGTATGACTAGCATTTTTCCATATATGGAAATTGTATGACTAGCATTTTTGATCAACGCGGGGTTGGAATCACGACTGAACAATCTTTAGCATGTCCGATGATTACTCTGTGGCTCCTGACTTTGCGTGGAAAATTACAAAAAAAAAAAAACCGGAATACAAAATTCCTCTTTCCCATTTCCAATGGTCGGATTAAAAAAAACTGCTGTTGAAAAGTTGAAAAAGTCAGCTCTAGCACAAACTTTTGGTCGCATTGTACCCTGAACAACAAAAACTTCTCAAATGAGCGCAAAGAACTGAATAATCCGACAGCCCCTTATTTGATCTCAAGTAAATTGTGATAATCATTTTTGGCGTGCTTGATATGTCTGACAGATGTAAGCACGCCTGGTTATTTCTATCCAGAGTTTCACCATTTGTGCCCAGATTCTAATGCTGAGAAACAAAACATGGGCATCGAAAAAAAGATAGTCATTTTTGCAGGGAAAGATTTGAAATTTGTGGATGATTTGGCAACCAACGCACTTGATTTCGACTTCATTTTTTTCCATTAATTTTTTTCCTTCTTAATTTTGACTTTTTAGCTATTTTTTAAAATAAACCCTACAGATTCAAAGTTTCAGGGAATTCGTCATTTTGGACAAACAGTCGCTGTTAGCTCAATATTTTCTTGCCCTACCCGCACCGAGCTCCCATGGATCATAATCGATTATATTGTCATAATATGGTCAGCATCAATAAAATGATAAAATAATCGATTATAATCCATTAAAAATGGATTACAATCCTAATATTTTTATCCCAACAAAAACCATCATAATCGTTTATAATCGATTATAATGGATTTTTTCGAGGGGTTATTCTTGAAATTTACAATTTTGTTCAAAATTATCTCATTTCCTGTTTAGTGTAGTTGCTACGTGTTATGTTTCATAAAAGGTTATATTTAGGTTTATAAATTTTTTTTGTCTCAACTTTTTCTAATTCATCGCAGTTTAACACTTCAATTTACCCCCCCCCCCCCAGCCAGTTAAGCCCCCAGTACCCAGTATACTACCACCTACCAGTTTACTATCCCCCGTTCGGTTTATTTACTCCTCCCCCCCCCCCCCAGATTTATTTAACCCCCCCCCCCCCCCCCGGTTTACTTCCCCATCCCCCCAGTTTACACCCCTCTCCCCAGTTTACTCTGCCCATTTAGTTGGGGAGGGGGGGGGGGGTAAAAAGCTTGAGAGGGCGAGGGGACGAAGTTGAGACATGGCATTTAGTAAAAGACAGGGCACAAATTCTGCAAATTTCTCGCAAAGTTAGCAAAATTTTGCAAAAATAATCGAATTTAGTTCTAAAAATGAAATGGATTATAATCAATTATAATGGATTATAATGAGTTTTCATTTCAAAATAATCGATTATAATGGATTGTCTTGGCAAAAATAATCGATTTCAGTGACAAAAATAATGGATTATAATCGATTATAATGGATTATAATGGATTATGTTTGTTCAAAAATAATCGATTATAATGGCTATATAATCGATTTCGTGGTCTGAATTTTACATCCGTAAGGGATTATAATCGATTATTTTTGTCTCTGGAATCCATTATAATCGATTAGAATCCATAAGCGCTCGGTTCGGGTAGCCACTACTAGATGGACAGATATGCAACTATTGCTGCAAACGAACTAACTATATTATTTTGTGGGTACGGGTAAAATATCTTTTGTGTACGGAACATATTACCGGCAAGGAAGTTCTGTTGTTTAAGCATGATCAAAATGGAATTTCGATTACTAAATGGTTGTCTAGATAATCAACTATTGTGACAAATTTAGACCACGCAATGGAATTTTAGTCCAATAAAATTGATTATAAAACTCGATTAAGGAAATTGAGTGTTAAAATTGATTAAAATCGACTATGAAAAATCTTCATTACTGATTTTATCCAACAAAATATAATGCGAGTGGGGAAAAACGTTGATATTAAAATTTAAACTTAAACAAGACTGCTCGTATCAGGGCGAAGCCCTGAATGTTCCGACTGCCTTTTAAGGTATTATGGAGCATTAATAACATTAAAAATTAAATGTCCTAAAAAAAATTAAAATTTTTTTTTCTAAAATTTGAAATTTTTTATGAAAATCATCACCTCACACGCCATATAAAATAGTAAAAGATAGATTTCGCTCCTTGTAACAAATCAATTAAGGCAATAAGCTTCTTTCAACCAATTTGGAACGATTTCTGAGCCGGATTAACTCTCCGCTTACGCGTTAATAGCGCGAAATATATCGCGCGTTAATTGTCCCAAATTGGCCAAAATGGCAATCTTTAAACCCCCATAACTTTACGAAAAATGATCACAGGTGAAATATCTTTTCAAATTTGAGCTCAGGGCAACAATATCTTTTGAATGATATAAAAAAAATTCCGTCAAAAATGGCTAGTTAAAAAGTCGACATTTGTCTGAAGAAAAAAAAAACCCACTCCGAGCACAAATATTCCGTTACTTTCGTACCGAAAGTCGGAACAACAATTTTTGTTTTTCATCAATACCGTCATTCAAGAGCTGCGTTTTAAGAACAGCCACTCAAAATAGATGCACTGATCTGGTTAATTCAAGCCATTCAGCTCTGAAAAAAAATCGATTAAACTCTATTTTACCACGAAAAAAGTGTGCAGATCAATTTAAATTTTTTTAATAAGTCTGTTCATTAAAAAACATCAGGTTATGAGTAAGAAATAAACGTTCGAGAATAACGGCAAGCACTATAACACTCGCACAATTTCTCTCGTGCAGCTAAGATCAGCGTAGGAAAACATAGCTGGCAATTGTTTCTTGCTTAGGTTGTCTGTGAAATTAGGAGTTTTACCATTATTGTGCTAGTTGTATTTTTACCCTAAACTGCTCATTTTCTGCGTGATACAGCTTCCGTCCAATAAATATAGCCTCAGTTTTGAGTGCGTTATCATTCGCCATGCAATAAAGTTTTATAGAAAGCATTATAGAAATATTCATATCAGGACTGCTCGTATTACGGCGAAGCCCTGAACACTCCGACTGTCCTTTATGTTCCATGAAGTAGTGTTTGGTTTGAAAAATAGATGCAACGTTCAAAAAAATTGAAAGTTTTTTCAGATGTTTTTTTTCAAAGATTATCCCCCGCCTGCTATACAGAACACAAAATAATACACTAAGTAAAATAGCAATTAGCAAAGTAACAAATAGATCAAATAGCATTCCTCAATTCAATTTAAAATGATTTATTTGGCTTACGCGTTAAAAGCCCAAAAATTATCGCTCATTAGTAACCCAAAAATTTTTAAATCCCCATAACTCTATAAAAATTATCACACATGAAATAATTTTATAAAATTGAGTTCAAAACAACAATACCTTACGACTGATAATTTTTTTGTCAAAAATGGCGAAACAAAAAACAATAATATTTGTCTTGAGAAAAAAC